GTCGGCATTGATGGAGAAAGTGATGGGAACGACTGGCGGACAGAAGTGGCGTGAGATTGAGGGGCATAATGTGACAGTAGAGCCCAGTGGTTGCGGCCGCGACGAGCAGTATGACCAATGTGTTGACAGTTAAAGCATATGGGCCTATCCTCAAGGGTACCCCATTCAGAGAGATTGCGTTGGATGCGAGGAGCAGAAGGGGGACGATAAGAAGGCTCAGCATAGTATACGGCAGAAACAGTATGTAGGCCAACGTTCGATAGCTCTTGACGAATGAAGGCTTGTATCAAAAAGATCATGGTCATGGAAAATCCAGGCGTCGGGAATGGCCTGGTTACCGGTTGTGCTGCCTCGACCTCTCGACGAATTATGCATGTGAGGTTGTCACATCGAGGGGCCTGGTGGAAGGCGTCGTCACACGAAGAAGTAGCCGCTGTGTTCGGAAGGTGCATGATGCTTTGGGCTACGCGGCGGGCTTTAGCTTGTTCGAGACATCGACATTCAAGGATGGTGTCGATGCGCGAGACGTTGTTAAAAACCAGCAGGTTGAAAGCATCGTCGGCAATGCCTTTCAAGGCATGGTTAACCTTTTCATCTTCCGACATACACTGGTCGGCCTTGGAACAAAGGGCCAAGACGTCGAGAATGTAGGAGACATATGATTCGGTAGAAGACTAGGCCCGTGTGGCAAGAGCCTTCTTCGCTGGGAGCTGACGGCGAGATAAATTGCCAAACAGGTTGCGGATCTTTTTTTTGAATAGATCCCAGCTCGTTATGTCGGCTTTGTGACTTTCAAACCATGTTCGGTGAGTGCTGTCCAGGTAGAAAAGCACAATGGCGAGCATGTGCGTGGGATCCCAGCGGTGAGTAGCACTGACGCGCTCGTACTGGTTCAGCCAAGGGTCAAGGTCGATCGATCATACCATCACCGGAGAAAGTCCCAGAATCCCGGAGGTGCGGGAGTGTGACGTTGGTGGTAGCTTGGACTGATGAGGGCAGCGTAGAGGAAGTACCTGCAGTCGAAGGGTCGCCGATGTTGCAACCGCTGCATGTCTCCATCGAGGTACGGGGGTCGTCCATCTTCACCAATAATGTTGCGAGTAACTTCTTTAATAATCAATTTACAACACACAGAACTCGACGAGCAAGATGGCGCCAGTCCAGCATCAATCAAAAACTCGCTTCGTCCTCCTCTTTCATGCAGCCGCGTTTAGCGGCTGTTATGTATCAATATTATGAACAACAGTGCCCTACTTATCGAGAAATTAAGGTAAATGCATGAGAACACAAGCGCCGTAGTGGGACATTTTCAGAATGATCCGGATGACATCAGACGTACTGCCTACAATGAATCACTAGTAATCGATCTAACTGCACTATGTAAAGAACACTCCGTTCATTAAGAGACGCGGTAAAATGCTGTTTGTTCGTTTCTGTTTGATTCATAGAAAAAAATAATCGCTTGACGTTACTCTGGGGAATAGCGCGAATAGTTGAAAAATTAAATTTTCACATGGTTACACGGGACTGGTGGTGCCATCTAGAGGAGTGCAGTTGAAACAAAAGCGTCTGCAATCTCGAAGCCAATGGCGAGAAATTGATCAATGGCTGTTATTGCTGCTGTGGCTCCCGCTGCTTTCAGTCTGCTGCTACTAGCGCAGTAAAGCCGGGCAACGTTGTGCATGTCAATAGTGACATGAGACTTTCTGGTCAGTGCGGAGCACTCGAATCATGATTTTATTTTAAAATATACCCTTCCTTGGCACAAAAGTAACATTACGAAGTTTCTGAACTGCCATTTCAACAATCGACTTTGACTTAATAGTTGACTTTAGTGTCCCTTTAACGCCCTAATTTGTTAAAGTGGGGCTTACACGTGGGGCCTAAGCGATGAAGTACCACGGCCGCTAGATGAAAAAGCGGACTCTTTTATCCAGCGGCCATGCACGAGCAATCTATTTGATGATCAGTGGTACAAAGCTAACCTTATCGGGCCCAAATGGCCTTGAAAATTTTTGTCTTTGCAGTTGCATTCTCTATCTATCTCTCGCTTCCTGTGCGTTGAACTGTTGCTAGAATGTTGTGTTGACGGTTATCTTCCGTTTCTATATTTAGCAAATGAAGATACATGCGTGCACGGCCATTTTCTTAGTGAACAATGAAAGGCACAATGGAGGCCTCCAAGATAGCTCCTGCAATTGCAGAGATCAACGGCACGAAAAACCTGACTGTGTGTGGGCGCGATCATTTTGCGATTTACCTGTGTGACGTACCCTTCAAAGCCCTACGTGCGTAATGCTGTGTGGTGGCAACCACTTCAGATTATCAGTGGTCACGGCATGTGTGATGTTTACCGCGGGTGTCACCTGTCTATTCTGACAGGGCACGCACCGTGATCTGCAGCCCTGTTAAGCTTCATAATCAACGTTACCACGGTTCTCCGTGGTAACGATCAGACGCATTATAATATCACCTACATTATCACACTTTCTCTTGGGACCGGCTGTGGAGAACATGAATAATTTGCTTATCCAGCATGTTCGCGACGGCTCGTATCCAGCGCTCTAGCCATTCTGCTTCGCGAAAGTTGCGGAAATCATCAAAACTGAAGTCCATAAACGCCTGTGGCAATTCGCAATGCAACAGTAGTGTTGACTGGGGTATTTTTTGGAGAGCGCGGAGCTGTTGTGTCTGCTCCTGTTTTTGTCATTGTTCTGGCGAGTGAACCAGCAAGCACTCTATGGCGGTTAGGTGACGCGTCCGACTAGTGGAGAGAAATTGGCAGATCTTTTTCCAAGTGTTCAATGCTCAAGTACACATAATTTTTAGCTCAATTGTTGGTTCATACGCTGTAGTTGCACCTGGTTGCGCAGCAAACTGTGCAAGGGAGTCGGGCATTGCACTACTTAAAACTGCGTCGACAAGTGGCGCTGCGTGTCCGCAAAACTCCAGAGTACAACGCCTATATCAAGAATGGGGCAAAATGATTGAGCAGATCGCACTTCCGAAATCCAGAGAAGCCTGAAAGTAAAAAATCTTCTGGTGAGACCATTTGTAAAAGTTATAAGGACATGCAATGGGTGCTGAATATGGGCACTTCATCTCGCTTCGCAAGAATCTGCCCTCGAGGATCACGTAGCCTTGGCTGTGCTGCACGGAACTCACGAAACAGAGTAATACAACTTTCGCTGCCCTTTCTATACAGCTACGGTGGTGCTGGATGTGCTAGCGATGGGCTCGAGTGGGAGATTGTGCATTTAGGTGCACTTTGGAATTGAATTAAAATATATATTCTAAATGTTTGCTGTGTCTAACAATTCGCATTTAGTGTCCTTGCCACAAGAGGCCTGTTATAGCCACAAAATTTGATGGCACCATGCCTTTAAGGCACTAGCATCACTGATGAGTGCCTCACATGTTTTATAACCATTTTTTCACAGTTCTCTAAATTCCTGGTTTTAGTAGAAAACTTGAAGTAGTTGGATACAGCTTTGTTTATCTACTTATCACTGTGGACATTTTAAATTCAGGGCATTTTTAGCGAACCAGAGGCACTTTGGTAATTTCGGTCTATCTAGCTGCGTCTGTAGCGACACCCTTGTGGTCATCTTGACATGGTACATACCAATAGGAAGACGTGACAAACGGAATTCGCAGGTCGGGACACTTCTGTTGTGCATGCATCATGGTCCGCCAGTTGCGTGCGGCACACAGTTTGTATCACCCCACTCTTTGGTAATGCCACACCATGAAGGAGCATGTGCCACAGAAAAGGTGGTGCCGGTATCAGTGGCATTGTCTGTGGGGGAAATATCCCAACGGAAGCAGTGAATGAAAATCACTGCTCAAGCCAGGCCTTCTGCATGGCAGTGAGGCGTTCTACCACAGAGCCACACCAGTGATCCTAACTGCTCTGGAAAAAGATCCTGTGGAAGCGTTGTGTTAGGACAAAGCCAGTTGTGCTTGTAGTGTGGCTCTTCACTCTTATATCAATGCAATACACATCACATATTAACTCTTATGACTGCAAGCTATACTCGTATACTCGGGCGTTACATGAATAAGTTTATGACAGCTGCTTCTGACAAGTAGATCATCACACGGTAATGTACACTTTGCTCTGATAAAACTGACATCTCTGCTTTAATGGGCACATTGACATTACATCAGATCATGAGTTATCTTTTAGATGCCAGCATACTTGGTGGTTTTGTCGAGTCCACATCATGCACACCATAGGTCGGCAAACTCGCTCATCAGTCGACTCACTCATACTGGTGTCACACGGGCACTTTAAATCGTGATGGGGTTAACTGGGTTGATTTTCCTGATTGTAATCAACTTTATGGTTGTTGCTACACAGTCGAAGCTAATTCGGTACGAGTTGGGGTAACGTAAAGTGTACCAGGTTGCGTTCGTGTGCCGAAAATCTTGTAGAATACACGCTAACACCATTTTAGTTGGTGATGAAACTCTCTTGTTTTGTTTTTACATTGTATTTAGCATTGTATTGCTTGTATTTAGCTTGTATTTACATTGTATTTAGCACCTGCTTTGTGAAAGGTTTTACACTTGCTGCACAATCTGCTCGGTATGTCAGGCATCGTCGACACTTGGCCATGCAGGCACTTGTGCTTTTGCGCACTATTGCGGCTCTTCTAATAACATCACATCACTATAGAGTTAGATTAGATTATTAGATTGATGGAGGCATAAGTGCTGCATGTGCTCTAACACTCGAAATAGTACTCAACATTTACATGTCACTGCGAAAAAATTAGCGTACAATACCTCTATAGAGGCTATTATCAGTAATGTTATTTGTGCAAACAACACACAAACATATAAGCTTTGCGAGCCTCTATAGAAGTAGATTAAAAAATCTATCATTAGACTTTTATTTGCACTTACCGGTAGCGAGGTATGAGATTCCTAATCTTCACTTTTTTTTTTCCTTATGGCACCCATCCTTCCAGTTGCAGTGAAGTGGCAATGTGGTTGTACACGCCAGAGGTTCACTTCAGGTGCCTCAAGTCCTCCAGCCGCTCCTGCCTGCAGTTGTTACTGCGCTCTTCATACGCCCTAACATAGTCGAAAAGCTGCCAACACTAGTTTTCTTCGAGGTGCTACATTTGTTCTAATGTTGCAACAGTTGAACTAAGGGCTGAAGATTATGGCTTCTCCTGCTACTAAATGGGTTTCATACAAATTTGAAAATATTCAAAATTTCAGACATTGTTTCAATTGAAACAGTTTAAAATTTGTCTTTTATGGAAAGCTGGCTTCTTTTATGTGTGTATTGAGCTATGCTCGATTTGATAGCTTATTGCACTTTCAATAAGCTCGGCCATAAAGCGCAGACATCAGTGAAATTGAAATCTGTGAGCCAGATCGCAATGCGCGTATCGCGATTGTCTTGATCCTGATCGGGCCTGATTGCAATTAAATGTTCCAGTGTGACACCGATATTAGTCAACACTCAGACTCAGATCGGGCCTCTCCAACAGAGGCTTCACTGCCAACAAACTGTTCCAGTGATTCAAGGAGCATCACCATCTCAAGCAGAGTTAGTGAGCAAAAGTATTGAGCAATAAAATAAGTGAATATGATAAAAGGCAACGACGTAATATTCGAGCCATGCATCACTTTCTTTTCATTCCTTCTGTGTAGTTTCCACTGGGTTCATGATGGCAAAAAGAAAAAGCGTGGTTTTCTTGCTTTGTAATGAAAGGTATTGAAATCTTTTTGCAGCAGGATGTTTATGAGCAACAAAGTTGTCCTATGATAACCTAGAAAGTTGTGGTAGGGCGTCTTTAATACAACAAATATTTTAGACCATGTCTGGTTGCTAATGTTACGGGTACTACATCACACCCAGTGAGTGGCCGTGGGGACATTATTGAGTAATTTTTTTCTAATTCTCACAAATGGGCACATTTGTTTGTGTGTGACTTTGGCACTACACATAATTTTACACAAGCCCTTCTCTGTATATAATGTTACGGGTACTACATCATTCTCAGTGAGTGGCCGTGGCGACATTATTGAGTAATTTTTTTCTAATCCTCACAAATGGGCACATTTGTTAGTTTGTGACTTCGGCACTACACATAATTTTACACAAGCCCTTCTATGTATATACGTCTTATCTAACTTTTACAAGGCCCAACGTTTCATCGCAGTTCCATCTTTAAAGGCTAATCATTTGCAACCGATAGCATTGCATGTTCATACAGGGCTGGTGGTACCACATACTGAAAAATCCCATCCAAACTTGCAAATTTCGAAGGAATGGGTCATCAGGGTCAAAGTGTGCTGGATCACCAGATAGTATGTTTCACTGTGTGAATAGCAAGTTTTTAGGAGCGTCTACAACTGCGATTGTGTGTTCATTTGTCATCCGGACAAGTAAGAAGGGTGCTTCATTGTGAGGAGATTCTCTAGTGGCTGCAGTTATGTCCTCACAACGCCAGAGTGCATACAGCGTCCTGGAACAGCAGTGGTACTGGACTGACTTTCAATCTTTTAAACGAACTTACGCACCAGATCTGGGTCTGCAACATTGTAACCGGTGTGAACATTGTGCTAAGCCACACATCCATTTACAATTTCTTTCTAGGAGTTCTTTCGGTCAGCCACATTTATTGGTCCTGATAGACAAAGGGTCTGCAGGTCATTTGTGCATTTTCCATGTGGGCCATTTGTGCACTTTCCAAATATGTTCCATTCCTGCAACTTGTTAGCAGACTGCCTTGCAGATTGCTGAATAAATATGTTATTTGTATCAAAACACAGTGTGATCACTTGTGGTCGTTGAAATTGGCCGATGAATTATCTTGAAGGGAAGATGGATTTTTTAGATTGGTGGTGCAGTCTTCAAGGTACAGTTTCATGCACTACGAATGGGGTTCTATCGCTGTGTGCATGGTCAGATATTTAGCAAGCAGGAAGTTGAATGTTGAAGACTAAATTTTAATAATGGTAGTAAACAAATGCTACTAAACACACATTCAGCTGTATTGTATAGAGCTGGAATAACCTGTGGGCTGTGGCTTGTGGGCATTGAACACGATTACTGAAATGGAGTTTCTATTTTGACCTCTGTGGAAGCGTGTGGCATAGGGCAATTTCCATTTTCAGGCATTCCACCTAGAAGAACATAAGGCAGAACTGGTTGACATTCGTTGCAGTTGCCTTGATCTGTCCTTGAATCATGGCATTGTTGCAAAACATTGTGTAGTACTGTCCTGAATTGCATTGATGTTTCTTTTCTCTCTTATGCCGTGCAATGCCAACTGATGCTTGTCTTCCCTTGGAGCCTGTTGGTATCACGCACTTGAGGCCCCCAAGAGCGGCTGCCGGCTATCTCCGCCACCAAAATATCTGCCGAGCATGTTTTTGAAGGGGCCCCACTATCTCTCCTTCCTTCTGCCTGTGCCCAAGTACGTTATCGCTTGCAAGACCAGACGCTGCTGATTTGGAAGTCTGATTGCGCTTTCTTGAGCTTCTCTGGCTTACGCGTCATTTGGGTCAGAGTTTGCTGAGGACTCAAGTTTGAAGTGTTTGGCACAAACCCCTACATCCTCCCATCTTTTAGACTGCTTAGTACTCTCCTCTGGGACGGAAAACGACCAGGAGCGTTTTCTGCCGTCTTTTCGGTGAAGGCTCCTCTGCAAAGCCTAGGACATGCAAAGCAAGCACTTGAAATGAGCCTTTGACGTCGGTCCGAGTTATTTCAACCCGCACTTCTACAGTAAAGATGAAGTCTTCCCCATGCTTTGTTGTTCTGCTTCTGGTATTTGTGGATGGTGAGTTGTGCCTTTGTGCACTTCTTTTTCTGCTACTGTCACTCTCTCCGCGCTCCTCGGCCAGGGGGCGACTCATATTCCCAAACAAAAGATGCGGCACTTACAAATCTTGCATGGTTACATTATTGGCTTGTTTCTTAGAAAGTAACTCTAAGTTATTGCTTCTAAGCTGTGTACATCGAAGTAGAAGCAGGGGAACCGTGTGATTGTAATAGATTTCATGCACTCATCTTATTCTATCCAGATGAGCGGAGTTTAATCAGGATCTCTCGCTAAGAGTCCAGCCTTACATCTTGACATATATGGCAGGTTGGTTTATGGGAGAAAGGGTGTTTGTGCTGCTGTTATTACACATAGTGTTGCAACATCTCTTGGTGTGGAAAGCTTTTTCACTTTTATGTGCGGCCAGAAAAAAGTGGGACTGAGCCTGTGCAAAGTGTTAGTGAAAAAACATTATTTTGAAACGGAGTAATGTGGCTTGCATTATTTTTCTACATTAGGCAAAGGATCATAGAATTCATTGTGAGCACACATTGACTAATGACCTTCGATCATATATTCCACGTACTGATGTGTTTGCCCTCTTACATGCTTGTTTTACTAATTTATACCATACCATTCATAGAGTAAAATAGTTCTATAATTTTAAAATCTAACTACCCAGTAATGAGAAGTCCTTGTCTTACAAAGTTATTTTTTTTGCTCTCTATCTCCTCTCAAATGAATTGTGCAGAGCTTGCAATTTTTAGTGCTAGTTTAGGTTACATTAAAATGCAGGTAAGGCAATGCTCTTCCATGCGAATTTTTCAATAAATGATGAAGTCCTGTGATAAATGCTTGCAATGTCTCTTGCTGGCAAAAAAAGAAAGAATATGCAATCCAGTTGCCTTTTAAGAAACTTTGGCTATCACCAGGCCTTCCAAGTTTCCCGCAATATTTGTGGTTTGAAGCAAGTGCAGCATCTACTTAGGATAGGTTCGTGAGGTATGGTCTGTGCTTATATCTGGAATGTGCTTTGCAGGCAGGCGTTTTACCAATGTCAATGAATGCAACCAAAACGGTAAGCTTTACTTTTCAGAAATGATGTGTTGTAGTTTTGACATTGCAATGCAATGCAGTTGTTTTGTAATGATTCGTTAATGTGATCAATGGCACAGATGTCTAAAAGTTATTTTCATAACATGCTTAGCAACAATACTGAGTGTAGTATCATGAAAATTCTTTTACGAGTTTAAGCGTAAACATGATAGGCTAGTCTTGTTCATTTGTTTGTCATATACTATAAAGTTAAAGGGACTGAAGACCAATTTTGATAGCACCTATTTTCTTTAGTGCAGTCGAAAGCTCACCGGTCAGATTGTCTAATCACGGTAATGTGGAAAACACCGAAAAATATTTGTAATCAGAATTTTTCCGGTCGAGAGCTACTATGAAGCCATATACACATGTGACAGCACATACTGCAAACAGTGAGTGCGAAAGTGGTTCTCGTTCGAGCACAGTGGTGCATTGTCACATGTGCATGTGCATGTGCCACATGTGCATGTACCACAGCTCGACATGGTCTACTGGCTGCTGCAACAGCAGTGCTACTGATCACCATGCGACCGCTTTCACCTTGTAGGTAGCTCTGAATGAAGTGAGGGTGGGTAATGATGTGAATACTCCAATTGTGAGGATGTATTATGGCATATAAGAGCACCAGACTATACGGGACTACATACACTTTACACGTACAAGGAGGACTGGTCAGGCGAAGGGAACAGGCACATGAATGTTTTTTAGAGTCTGCGTGGCAAGCAGTGCTGTAATATTCGGAAAATTTGATTGACGCGGTGTACTGTACAAGTTTGTGAGCTTATTTGCGGGATGTAAGAAACAGTTGGAGCTTGTTTACTGGCCCTTTAAAATACTTGTGAAAGCTCATGCCCTTTTCATGAGCAAACAAAATATATTGAGACACAGAGCAGCACTTGACTATTACGGACATCAGCTTTATATTTATACTTGTAGATACTGCAGAAAAACATGCTTACTGCAATATCAAAAGAAACGACCGAACTAAGTGATATCACACGGCTGAAACTCTAAGATGACGAGTGAGAACGCTCACACAGTTTCATTTTCTTACCAGTGTGCTCATCAACCATCCGGGAGATCCCTGTTGATTAGGCTGCAACTAAAACAAGCTCATAACTGCACTCTAAAACATTCATTGTAATTGTTAGTTGGACTGAGTGAGGCTGTTCGTTCGCCAAAGTTTTCATCTGAAACAGACGATTCACGTACAGGAGCAGCGTTGCGCTGCAGCGCAGTTGAGAGTGGAGTCCCTGCTGTGACGTCACACGCGAGGCAATGCCACTCCAAGACAAGATCTCGTACCTGCACATTCTTGTCGAGTGTCAGTCTTTGTGGTTCAGCAGCACTCAACATGCATTGAGCTGCTTGTCATTCTTGGTGTCATGTTCCAGTTTCTTGCTTTCATATTCGGTGCTTCGCTCTTGTGAGGAAACCGTGACTCTTGTTCTTGTAAGAGCACATGACCAACATTAGCCAGAAGTAGCCAATAGTAGCCATCATTGGCCGTCTTTACAAAAATATCTCATTTTCCAAATTAATTTTGTAGCATATATTTTGCCTTCGTTGTAGCTTAAACTCTGCATCACTAGAGGTTTTTGTTCTCGGGCTTTCGCAGGTGTAATGTCTATTGTTTAATGCTGGCCCAAAAAGTGCTTCTTAATACCATATATATTAAGAATACCATAGTTAAGAAGCTGGCTAAACATTTTCTTGGCACTCTTATTTACAAATATGTAAATGGAAAACTTCCGATTCCTTTACTATATCAAGTCAGTTTCCTCAGGCGTCATCGACTCGTTTTGCAAAGGCTAATAACTTCCTTTTACCCAAACCTAGGACTAATTATGGCAAGTTTACAACAAACTTTTCATCTATTTCCCTGTGGAATTCTTTACCTCTGGAGATCAAAAATAGATCCCACGAAATGTTTAAAAAAGGCTTGCGTTCGCACCTATTAAATTTTTAATGCATGATATTATATGAACTGAATGATATTGAATTTTTCTGTTAGTTTTTTGTGCTCATCGGTACACCTTGTATAACTTATGTTCGCTATTTCGTGTTTATCTGTACATCTTGTATATCTTAATTTTTCTATCCTTACCATAATAATGCTTGATATTATACAGAGTGAATGTTATTGCATTTTCGTGTTAGTTTTTGCATGCTTAGCTGTACATTTTTTATAACTTACGTTCGCTATTTCGTGCTTATCTGTACATTTTGTATACCTTCAGTTTTCTTTCCTTACCACTCTTTACTATTGCGTTGTATCTATCATGTATGATTTTATAGGATGTCTCACTCACAGTCTCGCGACATTGAGACCTCCTTCTGTATTTGTACATAACACATGCACTTGTATCACTTGTATTTCAATTCTGAATAAATAAAATAAAATAAAAATAAATAAATAAATCAATGAATATATGCTTAGCACACTTAGCATAATTGATATTTCTAATTAAAGTAGCTTATGCTTCTTAATGATTGTGCTTGCAGTGTTAAACTTTTACAGCAGAGCCCTTTTATCTTTATTCGATGGGCTTAGCTCATGCTCCGGGTGTTGTGTCCATATCATTTACAGGGCTCAAAGGGAAAGAGTGTGGCAGCGTTGTTTTAGTATGATGTAGAGCACTGTGAAATGGCAGAGGTGGTGAGGCAGCATACTCAAGGCATCAACAGCAGTAACACAAGTAAAAAAATAGAAGTGGTACCATGCAGAAGTGCATAATGCAAACAAAGTCTGAACGAGAGCATTCCCATCTGCAGCCGCTCACATTGGACAAACAAGCATGAAAGAGTCGACTACAGAAATGTAAATATAGGCATGAGTACTGCTTTGCTGGTAATCTGTCCCCATACCAATGTAGCGGCTTTACCAGTTTTCTATTTGTTTTATGACTTGCAAGAATGTATGATGGAGTTGCTATAATTGATAACATCAGGTCATAGCATTTCATAGAATGCATCTCACAATGAAAGAAGGGTCAATGAAATACACTGAAAATTTTGTTTTAAGGAAACTTAGACTGAGGGAGAGAGTTGCTTTTACTATGAGTATCAACAAGGATCAGCATAGAAGCTTAAATTTGAGACCAGAGTAAGAAGCAAGGACTAGCAAATGACTCAGTTCTCCTGTGCTTGTTCTTTTTTTCTTGTGATGATTCTCCATTTAGTATGTGCTCTCAACATGTCCACTGTTCACAATAGTTGAATTAACACATACGGCAACTGCTTAGCACATAGGCGTGCACATTGGTTCCCCCCTAATCACTGCAGAAGGGAGGGGGCACGGTCTGCCCCATACATTGCCTTAAGAGGAGGGGGGGGGGGGGGGGCACAATGATGACTCTTTCTGAAGAGCACAACCTTGCGCACGCCTATGACCTAAGTCAAGTGGGCCATGAAAAGTTCGTATAAAACTCATCAAGGCACAGACTTTGTGAACATAATCACTGAAATGTGTCATAAATTTGTATAATGGCAAATATAGCTCTTTTTGTTTTTCTGCATACAAAAGGTAACAAAAAAAAAATGATTCAACCTGTGGAACTACAGACCAAGCAAGTATGTTCTGGAAAGGAAACGATACCAAAAAGCCTTGCGCTTGTGGTTCATCGTTGGTAGCAAGGCTTCTCACTCTGTTGACCACTTGAAGCTCATCAAATTGCATATTTCTGAACACATTATGAGTCTTCTAATAAGCCTATTAGCATGCAAAGCATCTGTTAGTTATAATGAATGTCGGTAATACAGATTAATTTTGGCTGCAGGGAAGTTGGGCTAAGCTATATCCTTTCACCATTCATTCATTCTTTATTTTCATTGTAAAAATTGTTATACAATGGCAGGAACCAAGAAAAAAAGCTGCTCTAAGCTGCTTGAGAAGCTCTTAGCCCCAATTCATTATGGTGGCAGCAGGTGGCAAATGTAACGTGCTTGGGTTAACATTCAGGATTACATCAACAATGAGTAACAACTACACAGTATATGCAAAAAAAGCAAGAAACAAGTACAATATAATGTACAGTACATAAATATATATTGTGAGCGCAGTCACCGACTCTTCTTTATCGATTGGACGTGTCATCATCATGTGTTTAATTTCCTTACCTGTAGATGTCATCATCACTGTGTGCCAGCTCGAGCTCGCCTCGAATAAAGCTCTTCCTCATAAGTGCTGGACGGTGCTTCTTGATTCCCAAGTCCTCTCGCACGTTACCACTGGAGCTCCGCTCCGGTTTTCGTCTACTACCACCTGCCATGGCAGTGCAAGACAATCCTGGTCCATCCAACACCACCAGCCCAGTGCAGCCTCCGCCGTCAACCCTGGCCATCCACAGCCACCAGCGTGATCCGCCAGTATTCTCGGGTCTCAAAGGAGATGAGGTTAAAGAATGGCTACACACCTAAGACCTCGTCAGCGAGTTGAACAGGTGGGATACTCTACACAAGTTGCGTTAGGTTCCTTTCTACCTAAATGATGTTGCCAAAACCCGGTTTTGGAGCCACCTCCAAGATCTTCCCGACTGGGACACATTCGCACGGCAGCTCCGTCAGATTTTCGGTTCCCCCAGTGCTCGCGCCAAAGTAGCAACAAAGAAGCTTGCTGAGCGCATTCAGCTGGCGGGTGAATCTACACCTCGTACATTGAGGATGTTCTTGCCTTGTGCAAGCATGTAAATTCAGCTATGCCTCAAAGCGAACAAATATGCCATATTATCAAAGGCATAAATACCATCGTATTCAACACCCTTGCGTCGCAAAACCCTACCACGACTCAAGATGTTGTCACCATTTGCCAGAGACTAGAAGAACTTCAGTCTCTTCGTCTTTGCCATGATGCCTCGGACATTCGTCTTCCTGCGGCCCTCGACATTCGTGCCCTGGTTCGCGACATCGTTCGTGAGGAGCTTCATGGGTGCTGCTCTTCCTGCGCCCCACCGTCTACTTTAGCCTCAGCTCCAACCAACTTGC